AGGAAGGAAGGAAGGAAGGAAGGAAGGAAGGAAGGAAGGAAGGAAGGAAGGAAGGAACTCAAGGTCCGTCGGCTCACCTTGGCCTCGTGCTCCAGCTTGGCTTTCTCCAGCTGCCCTGTCACCTTGGCCACTTCCTCCAAGGCCAGAAGAAGCTGACCGTCCACTCCTACAGACTGCATCAGAATCAGGCTCTGTTGATTGGCCTCTTTCTGCTTCACCAGCATCTGTGAAGGGGCCCAGGAGGAAACCCAGGTCTCAGAGAGAGCGGGAGCTGCAATGGGGCAACCTAGGGACAGACCTCATCCTTGGAGTTTCCCCGCAGGTCACAGCTCCAGGAGGATGTTGCGTTAGTCTATGGGAGCCCAAAATCAGGAGGGGCCTGGGAGCACCTTTTCCCACTAACACATTTTATTAACAGGCATCAGCTTCTAGGAGCTGCGACTCACTTCATCAGGCACACAGAGAGGTTGGGCTGATGCCAGATTTAAACTGGCAGTGAGCTGGCCCGTGCGAGATTCAAAGGAGGAAGCCCTTTTTCGTTTGGTCACTGCATTCAAGACAAATCCTTCCTTTGCCCTAGGTGGCGTTACTGCGTATTTACTTGCTTCCTTATCTATTTTATTAGTTTTGTTACAGTCCCTGGTTTGGCCCTTTCCCCGCTGCGCAGCGGAAGAGCTCCCCACCCAGCATCGAGTCGGCAAAAAGGTTTTCTGGCACAAAATTGTGGCCCTCGTTGCCAATCCCCCTCCTGCTTCTGTTCCGATCGTGGCCAGTCCTCAACTTCCCTCCAGGGGTGTTGGAATACGTGGGAAACGCTAATCTAACACTGGCTCGCTAAGGACCCACTTAAGGCTGCCTCGCTCATGGGCTGGCATCTGCGTCTGACAGGGGCCACCCTGGCATCCTGGGGCCAAGGACACCGATTAGGTCGTCACAGAATTTGCACCTTAGGTGACATCATCTTCTCCCCTGTGGATGTCCAGGTGGGCTTGAAGAAGATGAAGCAGCGCCTTAGGGGTGTGGCGCTGAAGAGAAGTTAGGGGCAAGGGGGCAAAGGAGCTCAGTGGGAATGACCTAAGAACTTCCCTGTCCCCTTTCCTTGAATTCCACCAGCCTCAACGGTTTGCTGGGGAGAGTCCTCGCACCCTTGAGAGTTTTCAGACAGCCCCAAATTCCTCTCCCAGAGGCTGAGAAGAGATGTGCACAACCGGAACTGATGTCGCACCTGATGAGCAAAGGTTTCTGCTTGCTGCCTCAGTTTCTCCTCCAGATCCAACTGCAGCGACATCTTGCCATACTCCTCGGTGACCAAGCGGGACGCTGCAGGGTTTACAGAAGATACAGGCATTGCCTTTGCGTCTACCTGGGTCAGATCCAACCTAAAGGAACTCTTTGGCTTTTTAGGGTACAGACCTCTTAAAAAGATAGAAGTTCCATGCATTTTTCCCTGTAGTTTCCATCCATCCATCCATCCATCCATCCATCCATCCATCCATCCATCCATCCATCCA